ACATTAACTGTATCAAAGAAATTTCAAACACTAAATACTGTGACATGTACTATTACATGATATAACATTTGCATATGCTTATTAATATTTATGTCCTAAATTATAAAGTTGTCATTCATGCCAGTTGGCAATAGGTTATAGCTTAAGTGATTAAGAATTTTTATCGATGTACTTGAGGTACTAAGTTTGATTTCAAAATATCTTACATATTAATTATATCACGTAGTATTATTTTAGTATCGTCTGACGATAATTTTTTAGATGGGAGGGCATTGTTTGTGTGAATGGAAAAAGTATAAAAAAGGAAAGAACAAGCTTGCAACAGGAGTTGTGCGCTGTCAATTGGTGTTAATTTTAAGCGAAAAATCAATAGCTGCTGGCATTGTTGGTGTAAAATATATCTTTTTCTCTATCTCTTTCTATCTTTAATATATATATATATATATATATATATATAAATATCAGGTCCTTTAAGGAAAGAGATTTCCATTTTAAAAAAAATAGAAATACATAATTGACTATTAGATTTGATTTTAATGAAATTTTATGGTTGAGATTAAATTACAGATCATAAAATCTCAACCACAGAATTTCATTAAAGTCAAATCTAACGATTAAGAGGATGTTCTCATTTTAAAAAAAAAACGAGGATCTCTCCTCTTAAAGTCTTCCTATATATATATGGAGATTTATATGATAAATTCCATCAGCCTCCAAGGGCTCCAATCACATGGGACTTATTAAGCATGTCGGATGGAAGGTGGGACCGACAACAACTTTGCTTAAGCTAAAGTCTTCATCTGACAACATCACAGGTCCTCCTCCCTCCAGGTTAAATCAAACTTTCGATGTGAATTTTTTTTTTATTATTTGTTATTTTTATTTTTAGCAAACGATATTATTTACTTTAAGAGATAATTAGTAGGTTAATTTCATAATAGACTGATAATAATATGATTCAAATTTATTTTTGGTGAGAACTAAACTTAAAATCTCTCACTTACAATACTATTAGATCGTAGTACTAAATGACTTTCGATGTGAGATTTAAAATATCCATATTTTCCCTATTTCTCTCATTAATCACCACATAGTCATTTTAATTAATTAATTAATAATTAGATAATGGGACTCCATGATACCATTTTTTTCACAATTTTAATACGTGTCATTGTGGAATTTTCTTCTAAACGTATTTTAACGATTTGAATCGTCTATTTTTTAAAACATCAATTATAGATCATCCTTACAAAAAATTAAACAAGTTCAAAACCATTAAGACATTTATTTGTAGTAAAGAAAATGAACTAGTACAGTTCTACAAAGAAATTCTAAATCCTTAATCCAATCGTCATATGGTTTTATATTTAGATGACTTTTGGTAAACATGATTACATTATGAAGTTAATTACACAAAACTTGTATAAAAATAGTGTCATAGATTCGCTCGATGATAATTAAATTATCTGTATAATATCAGTTTTGAGCAAGAAGAGGAGGACGCAGAGTATAATTTAAATTGCTACCTAAAAGTAATATTAAAAAAGCCACAGATCGATCTCAGAGTATGTATGGTTAGGTTGAGTTTAAAGTTTAAACCATGGTTAAGCGTGATGAGTGAGTGCAGATCATATTCTGATTCCTGTGCAGCTAATTGGTGTGCTTCAACAATTTTAGTTTGTTCCAGCTCAAAACTAGGGTGTCAATTTTGAATGTGAAGAAACAAAGTAAAAAAAGAATATGCTACAGCTATTTTCGACAGGCGGTTGCATAAAACAATGCTATCGTTAGTTGTTTACGTGCGAGTTTTAGTTGTCGATGTCTTACGAGTAGGCATGGCAAACGAGTTATGTTTGTTGTGTTTGTGTTGTTTTCTTGTCATATTCGATATCTTAACGTGTTGTGTTGTGTTAAAATCGTCATCTTAGCGGATTTTTAACAGATAACCCCATAACGACTTGATTCCTTAACGAGTTATGTTGTTTCTGGTTAACAGGTCATACAAGAAACTGTCATGCTTATGTCTAGATCTAACAAATGATATCTTATCATTAACGGATTCTTAATGGGTTACTCGATAATGACCTGACTCGTAAAAGGGTTCTTAAAAGATGACCTGGATAACGACTTGATTCATTAACAGATTGACCAAAAACCTGTTATTTTCGTGTCGTTCGTGTCAAGTTAACGGATAGTACACAAAATTGTCAGCTTAGTTACGAGTTTTGCGCGTGTGTGTGGACGACTGAGTGCGACAGTTGGAACTGTGTAGATTAGATAGAGTGAGAACGCAACTTGAGGGGAGGAGAGCAAAGTGTTGGTGCTGCCAAGTTACATAGTAAAGTTAAAGCAAAGTCCAATAGTGCAAGGCCACACCCACAGAGAGGGATTGTTGGGTCAATTCAGTAGGACATTATTGGGATGGCAAAGGAAAGATGGCCTTGATTTTTATTCCTTAAGATGGATGTGAGAGTTGCCTAGCTTATGCTCCTTGCTCCATTCAGTTTGAATTTTCTTTTAATCTTTTTTTTCTTCGGGGTAAATTTGTGGCATCATTTTTTTACACAATGTTCAACATACGTTTTTATAAATCTCACTTTTTAATATATTTTAATGATTTGAACCTTTTGTCTTCTAAAATATCATTTAGAGATCATCCTTAAAAAAAAATGAGGTAAATCCAAAACCATTAAGACATTTATTTGTAATGAAGAAAATAAACGAATACGGTTTTATAAAGAAATCCTAAACCCGTCATCCAACAGTTATATAGTTTCAGATTGGGGTGATTTTTGATAAAAGATAAACGTTTCGAATCGTTGAAATACATTACGGAGTAGACCCACAAAAGCATATGCCAAAAATTATATAAAATGGTCAGATCGTCCTTGATATATATATTATATAGAAAATTATTATCAATATTTCAAAATAATATTCATTTTTAATTTAATAATTATAAAGGAGATTAGAATAATTATTTTAGAGGGCATATATATATAAAAGTAAATGTTATTTACGCACAAAATTAATCATATTGTTGAGTTGTTCTTTATGGTTATCTTCAAGCTTATAATTTTATACTTATATTTTTGGCTTAAGTGTAATGAAGGTCCCTAAACTTTACTTCGAGTTTAGTTTTCGTTCGTGATTTTTATACCCGTTCCCTAAGTTAACCCTATATTACATAAGTGGTCATTTCCGTCAAGTTTGTCATCGTTACCGTCAAAAACTATCACATGTCATGCATTTGACCTTTTTGATGGGGGAAAATATGATTTTTTGCAGCTTCAAAGGGATCTCTCGTGTTGTTGTAGGATGGAAGAGAACTCGAACCTGATAACTCATGTGCTACGTGAAAGCTCGAACATTGAACACAAAATCCATTGTCATCACTTATTGAAATATCCTAGTATTGCTGCTCAATCCTGCATTTCCTTCTCTCATCGCATCATAAAAAAATAAAGAAAAAGGTTGAAAATGGTAGGATCCCATCAACCTCTTGCTCTTCATTTCGTTCTATTTTTTTTTTCAATAAAATTCTTTCCTTCAATTGGTGATGAGAACCTTACACCCAGATTTGGAAAGACTACTATACCCTCAAATTTGCCGAAAAAGAAGACAAACTTGGAGGAAGAACCATTGTTGCAACACAGAATTAAATTGGAGGACGGGAGAAACTAATATAAGATTTCAAGGATGAATATTAACTTAGAGTAAAATTCAGGGACATTTGCTACAATTTAGCCTAGGTTTTTATATTTGGGTCCAAAAGTGGAGCGTTTTATATTTTTTGTTTTCTTCCCTTATACATATATACACCAATGTTAAACTTAAATTGAAGTAACATTTCACACATCATTTTGAGCCTCTCATAAACTTTTTTCCCATTTTTGGCCATCATATTGAATACATCCAACGAAAACAACGAATGAGATTAAACAGAAGTTATGAAAGGCTACAAAAGGTGCATGTTTATCCTATCTCATGCAATATTGGAATAAGAACTGAAATTTGAATGCATTTGACATGGTTGGAGCAAAAATTCAAATGCTATTTTACTAGTTGAAATACTATATTTTCTTATCGACGTGAGCTACAACTTAGACTCAAATTTTATATTGAAACTCAAGCATAAGTTTCATGGTTTCAATACAACTCAAAATAAATAAATTTTAACTTTTTGATGCATTTGAGTGGAAAAATATATAATATTTGAACTCATATTTAACATTTGAGTCTAAATTTTCTAGAGCGTTGAAGATGTCATAATACAAATGAATCTTGCAAGCAATCTATGGTAAGGTTTTATTAGGGAATTAATGTATCAACATAATTTTTCTAGTATAGATAAATACTTATTGTACATTGCCTCTAATTGACTCTGATTCATTTTAGAATTCTCATAATTTTTTGGATGCACATTTAATCGTTAAATTTAAACATTACATATCTTACATTGATGTTTACTATTTAATATTTAGCATCAACAACATTGTCAATGTTGCATACTTAAATAACTTTTGTATGCTCGATATTGGAATGAGAGATTTAAACTAAGTTATATAGCGTGTTAATTATAATTATGTATCAATTTTACTATTTATATAAGTCAAACTTGAGATTTGAAGCTTAAAAGTACATATGAATAGCAAACAACGACTCGATCGTAATTATGCATCAAATTATCCATTAATGAAAGTTGAACTTTTGAACAAATGAAAGTTGAACTTAAAATTTAAAACTTACAAGTACAAAAAATATCGGTAGACTTTAATACTAGTGTAACACTTGATTCTTAAAAGTTAAGAAAATAGAGAGTAAAATATAGTAGTAAATGGTTTTGACAATTATTAGCAGCAAAGTGAGAGCCGCTGACAACACAGCATCTCTTATAATTTTATCTGCTCTCTCTCTCTCTCACACACTCACACTCACACTGTCTCTCTCTCTCTCTCTCATCATCATCACCCTCATAATCGTCATCTCTCCATTCATTCACTTCCCTCTCTCTCTCTCTCTCTCTCTCTCTCTCTCTCCTCTATTTCTCTTTCCTCATTTATCTCTCTCCCCCACAACCCATCTACTGTTTCTGTCCTTTCTTTTCTCTCTGTCTGTCATTTCTTGCAGGCGGCAGCAGCAGCAGCAGCACTGTTGCAGTTTCGAAGGGGATGAAGATGTTGATTAGACCCTCCTCCTCCGAGTTCAAATCTTCCTCCTTTTTTCCTTAATTATTATTTCATGTTTTTTAATTTTCTTTTCTGTTTTTGGGTTTTTAATTAGACTAATGAATAAAAACCAAATCTCAAGTGTGTCAAGTCCAGCACTAACTCGTAGGAAAATTCACTTTCTGCCTTTCATCTTTCCAGTTGTCTAATCTAATCTTCCTCCTTCTTCCTTTTGCCTCTACTCTTAACTCTCCCTCCCCCTCCCCCTCCTCTCTCTCATCTTTCACCTCACCCTCTCTCTCTCACACTCAAGAGGAAGAAGAAGATCTGCCTTTCCCGCCGCTTAATGTACCCAATGAATTTCACTGGGTACATGAATCAGCGGTGAAGAATTGGAAGAAAGACGACATCTTTCAGCTGCGTCGAGGAACTGAGAAGAACCCATTTTCTCAATTCGCGAGATTATGCAGCAGCAACCAGCAGCAGGAGGAGCTGGAGGAGTTGGAGGGTCCCAAACCCATTACGGAGGAGGAGGAGAGATGAGTGCTGCTGAAGCTGAGGCGTCGGCGGAGCAAGGTCAGCTGGTGGTGGAAGCGGCGTCGCCAATCAGCAGCAGGCCGCCAGCTTCCGCGGCGGTGAATATGGACGAGCTCATGACTCTGTCCGGTGCGGCTGTTGCAGCTGAAGATGCTCTTGCGGATCGAAGTGGAGGTGGTGGGTCCAGCGGGAACAGATGGCCGCGTCAGGAGACCTTGGCGCTTCTCAAAATCAGGTCCGATATGGATGCGGCCTTCCGCGACGCCACCCTCAAAGGCCCCTTGTGGGAAGATGTCTCCAGGTAATTAACAAAAACAAAAACAATTTTAAAAAAAAATCACATAAATCAAATCAAAATTCATTCTTTTTTTTTTTCTTCCAGTCTTCTGAATTTTGGTCATCAAGTTCATTCATTTTCCGCTTTTCCCAAGTCATCTAATTCAGCATTTTGGCATTCCCAATATTGATTATTTCTGGGTATCTTCACAAAATTCCTTTTTTTTTCTTTGAAAAACAAAAGAAATTAATTATTTTTCTGCATAAATATTGTATATATATATATATATAAATACATTCATACAGAGCCAGCCAGCCGCACATGGGACATGGGGCTTCTATCTCTTTCCATCACGATTCACGAGCCGAGCATCTTCTTCTTGGAATTTAGAGAGGCTCAGATCCACTGCATCACCTGCAACCAATCCCTCCCTCCTCCCTCTGTTTTTGTCGCCCTTTAAATTAAACACCCGTTTTTTAAAATCCCGATGAGATTTCCTTTATTTCCCCACCAAAATATAAAAAATTACCAACATTTTCCTCTTTTTCTCTTAATTTTTTCCTTTTTCTAATAAAAAATTAATGCTTTAAAATTTCCACTATAGACAGCTAATATTATATATTTAATTTATAGGAGATAGAGACCAAGTGAGGATCATGGGAGCCTGGGAGGTTCTCCTCCCACTCTCTCCCCTCCTTTTTTTTATTTAATTTTTGTCTCCTTCCCCTCCCTCGAGTCCCAGTTGGGAAGATGATGATTTGTACTATTTTATTGGATTTGATTAATTTTTTTAATGATTAATTATATAACAAAACATGGGTTTGTGACGCATTGTGCAGGAAACTAGCGGAATTGGGGTACAAAAGAAATGCCAAGAAATGCAAGGAGAAATTCGAAAACGTTCACAAATATTACAAGCGGACGAAAGAAGGCCGCGCGGGACGCCAAGACGGCAAAAGTTACAAGTTTTTCAGCGAGATGGAGGCTTTACATGGCACCGCCGCCGCAACGACGGCCAACGTGTCGGCCTCTTCGGGAGTGCACGCCGCACACGCGTCTCCGAACCCGGTTTCCGTCGGGTTTGGGCCTGTCAGTAACCCCATGCCCATCTCATCGTTCAGAATGTCACCCACGATTCCAGTAATGCCCTCCCAACAGCAGCAACAAGCCACTGCAATTCAAATAATACCTTCGTCGCAACCTACAGCCACTCCGATGGACGTCAACTTCTCCTCCAACAGCTCGTCGACTTCCCCGGGAACTGACGACGAGGACGACGATGATGACATGGAAGGAGAGCCCTCGAGTCGGAAGAGAAAACGGGGGAGTGCTAGTACTAGTACCGGAACTAGTGGCGGCGGAAGTACCCGAAAAATGATGGCGTTTTTCGAGGTTTTGATGAAGCAAGTGATGCAAAAGCAAGAGAGCATGCAGCGGAGGTTTCTAGAAGTGATAGAGAAGAGGGAGCAGGACAGGACTATCAGGGAGGAGGCGTGGAAGCGTCAGGAGATGGCCCGGCTAACTCGCGAGCACGAGCTCATGAGTCAAGAGCGGGCCATTTCTGCTTCCAGAGACGCCGCCATTATCGCTTTCCTGCAGAAAATTACTGGCCAGACTATTCAGTTGCCTCCGGCTGTCAACGTCCAAGTCGCTCCCCCACCACCTGTGTCTCCGTCGGTGTCAGTTGTCGCTCCATTACCACAGACAACGCCACAGCCGACGACACAGACATATCAAACACCGCAACAGCAACAACCTCAGCCGCCGCAACAAGTGCAACAAGTTCGTCATGCTCAGCAGACTCAAAATGTTCAAGCGGTGATGGCTGTACCGGAACAACAGGTACCTCCGACGCCGCAGGAGAATATTGCTAGCGGTGGAGGAGGAGGGAGCTCCGAGCCTGCATCGTCCTCTAGATGGCCGAAGGCAGAAGTGCTGGCGCTGATAAAGTTGAGGAGTGGGCTTGAACCGAGGTACCAAGAGGCAGGTCCGAAGGGCCCACTTTGGGAGGAAATCTCAGCCGGTATGGGGCGGATGGGGTACAAGAGGAGTTCCAAGAGGTGCAAGGAGAAATGGGAGAACATCAACAAGTACTTCAAGAAGGTGAAGGAGAGCAACAAGAAGCGGCCGGAGGATGCGAAAACGTGTCCATATTTTCACGAACTAGATGCCCTTTACCGGAAAAGGGTACTTGGCGGTGGGTCTAGCGGCGGCAGCAGCAGCTCATTAGGAAATAGGCTGGAACAACAACCGCAACAACAGGAGAACCCAAAATCGGGTTCATCCACACATCCGCAACCAAGTGCGCATACAGTGTCACAAACACAAGGGCAAGTAGTAGCGGCGGGATCAGAAAACAAGGATGCAGATCATAGCACAAGTGTGGAAACAAATTTGAGAGCTAACCTCTTTGGAGAGGGAAAAGAAGAGGCTGCCAAGAAGGTAAAGTTTCTCCATATATATATATATATATCTAGTAACAAATACTTGCAATGCTAGGGTCTAGAGAGACTAGAATCGTCGAAATCCGCGACCTGTTAGCTTCTTGCTCGTTAAGATTAAATGAAATTCATGCCAGTATCTTACTTGTTAAAAATAAACGAGATTCAAAATTACATCTCCGCATTATTTGGCCAACACTTTTGAGTGAATTAAGTGTATTTTACATAGATATATGCTGATTGTTGGTTTTGCATTTGAAGCCAGAAGACATTGTGAAGGAGTTGATGGAAGTGCATGATCATCACCAGCAAGTTTTCCAGGGGCTGCCACAACATTTAGTAGTAGAGGACTACAACAGGATAGAGGAAGCGGATAGCGATAATCTTATGGATCAAGAGGAGGAGGACATGGAAGACGATGACATTGACGAGGAAGACGATGAAGAAACGGAACAAGAGAGGAAGATGGCGTATAAGATAGAGTTTCAGAAGCAGAATACAGGCCGTTCGTCTAACGGCGGAGGCAACGGTGCACCTTCTTTCCTCGCCATGGTTCAATGAGATGATCGATCCATCGATCGAATCCACATCAAAACCGAATCGATTTTTGCATGCATTTGCATGCGAGTGAGAAATGTGCATGGCCAAATCACTGTACAATATGTACGTATCTCAATCTAGCTCAAGTAAGATTATACCTCACATGAGCAAATTAAAGTTGAAACCCTCAAAAAATTACTTCTTCCATTTTCTCATCTTTTTTTTTCTTGTTTTTTTTTTTAAATTAATTTCTTTCATTCTCCTTTGAACATCACCACCCGATTTCATCGCCTTTTGATTGTTGCTGTCTTCTTGATCTTCTTCTTCTTCTTCTTCTTCTTCTTCTCGGGTAGTCGTCGTCGTCGCCGTCGTCATCACTTGTTTCAGCTTTTTTCCAATTTATTGATTTATTGGTGAATAAAAAAACCGTTTGAAAAACGGGGAGGGGGATTGGATTAAGACACAAGGAATAAGCTTGCTCTAAATTTACATAGCAGCAGTCATATATCGTTACAGAAGAAAAAGAAAAACAAGCCCTGGAAACGTGGAGTGAGGGAGAGAAAAAGTGGACGGTTTCACAAGGCAGACATCAGCAGTGATGATTCAGCATTATTCTTTCTTTTCTTTTTTCACTTTTATTTTATTTATTATTGTTCTTGTTAATTAATTAATTAATTAAGCTTTTGAGTTTCTTTTGTAAACTTTGCTTAGTTTGAATGAATGAACAAGCTAGCTGGGCTCTCTTTAGAATTCATATTCTCTATTCAAATTCCGCAATATATCTTTTTCTTTTTCCGTTTTATTTAAGGAGCAATTTGCAAAATACAATTTCACTTTTACCGTAACGTTCCGTGAGAATTGTACAATATTATATGAATAATACTGCATAATTGATATTATTGACATAAAATGCGACGGTTATTGTGTTTAGGTATAATATATAGAAGTCCATCTCCTTATTTATTCATTTTTTGTCAAACTTCGTGATTTTCCATAAATGTATAATCCTTATAAAAAATGAAAAAGTTACAGATAAACACGAGCATGGTGATGAAAGCAAGTGGATAATTCATTTATTGTAGCTGTCTGCAGAGGCAAATGGGGTGATTTATGAGGAGAGCCACACCTCTACGCGGATCACTGATGCCAGCTGGCTAGAGGAGGGAGGGAGGGAGCGAGAGAGAGAGAGAGAGAGAGAGAGAGAGAGAGAGAGAATTTCACTTTTATTTCAGAGACTTTTTTGAGAAATATGGGGCTTCAGAGCTTTTGGCCGAACATGTGGTGGTGGTGAGTTAGGCATTTGGCTGCTGCTCACCACGTCAGCCCATAACTGGATGTATACAAGAGAACGGAGTCGCTTTTGTAACAGTATTTTAAGTTAATCACACATAGTTATATGTTTTAATTTAATCATGTAATAATGAAGGTTTAGTTTGATAAACACTCAAACATGGAATGCTTATACAGATAATTGTGATAATATCTCGAGTAAACAATCACGTAATGTTATACGTTTTAACTTGTATCACACGTATGAGAAGAGAATGCATGATTGATTGGTCGGTAAATACATCCAAGTCTCGGATATATACAATATAGCGTTGTCTGCGATCTTTCTTATTACTGTGCTGTAAATATATATAAATACACACACACACAATATTCCAAAAAGGTTTTCTTATATCTTAATTATTTTGGGTTGGTTAGAACTTATAAATCTTTGATTTCCTTCTTTTTATCTGTATCACCAAAAAATTTAAACTTATTTACTCCATTAGGTTTTTTATTTTTATTTTTTATTAGCAGCCCACATAATATTAAGTACATATTATTTATCTTTTTTAACTCTCAAAATTCCTCACCATCCATTCCCAATACCTGCTTGGGAAGCAAAAGCAGGGTTATTATAACCCAGGAATCGATTAAACATCTTTTCTATTTTATTGAATAAGACTGAAAGTTTTCTACTTTTTTCTCTTCCCAACAAATGCAAGCGAAACGATGAAATTGCCGGGTTAGAACTTGAATGGAATGCGAAGAAATTAACGATACTTCTTTATGTATGTCGTTGGATGGCATAACCCCAATTTAATGAAATAAGAATAGTAATAAAATGGCTAAACATAATTTATGCTCTGCAATTCAACATCAAAATAATTTTTTTTTTCATACATCTGAAAATGCAAAGAAACCACATCAACATTTAGCTACGTTTTGCCAATCTGGGCGAAGTCCTAGTGCCATTTACATTACCAATACCATCTGATTGTTCTTTCCCTTGCTGCTTATACCCCTCCCATCCTTGTCCTTAAACGTCAGCTTGTTTATCTTCCTCCGATCTTGATTGTGACAGAGTATTATAAGATGTGAAGAATATGGGGGTGTATATAAAATGTGGGGTGTGTGTAAAAAATGTAAAGTGTATGTTGAGAATGTGGGATGTGAGGGTATTATGAGAAAATATCTAAGGTGTATTACGATAAATTTTAGTTAAAAAACAGATGCGAGGTGTATTAAGTATGCGGAGTTTATTTAACATATGTTAGGTGTTAATATAGTAAGCATTTTCTTTTTGTTGCCAAATATATGTCTTAAAATCCAAAACTACACAATTTTGTTTTAAAACCCTAGATATGTTTTCAAACAAAGACAAATCCTATAAGACTTAACAGTTCTTAATTGTACGGTTAAACATGCGTTAAAGAATTTCAGAAAGTTTAACGGGTCAATTTTCAGAAAGTTTAATAGGTTAATTTGAGTCACTTAATAGACAATGTACACTATACATTGATGTATACTAAAAAGCCTGATTATGTACGCTTCTCAAATTAATCTTACGATTAATAATTAGTTTTGTTTTTGTTTTTTTTTTTTTTTTTTTTTTCAAATTTGGAGAGATACTGGATTCAAACCCTAGCTCAATCTTGCCCAACATTCATGTTCATCTGCATGTTACTGTATTTTCTCTCTCACAATGCCACGTAGTGTTTCCTTACAAGCCTTCCAATCTTTTCACTTTAAGTGTTTGTGTAATTATCAGTTGGAAAATATGTATAATACATGCCTGAACATAATAATGATCTCAAAGTAATTAATTACAAATAATTAAGTTCCTTAAATACATATACAGAACAATGAGCACATGGGACATAGTGCATTTTCATTCACCATCCTTAAATAGTGGTAATGCTCACCATTTTATTTATCGCCGTTGAATGAGTTTAGATTTTGAGATTTATGTCTATCCACTACACACAATCTCACAAGTTAAACTCATCTAACGATGATAAATAGGATGGTGAGCATCACCATCATTTGAGGTATTCTCCATGGGGCGCAAAAATAAAAATGGGTAAATTACATTTTCCCCCCTCACGTTTGGGGTCGATTTCAATTCCTTACAACATCTTTAAAACATTTCAATTTCATACATTTACTATCATTTTATTTCAATTTCATACATCCGTTAGAAAATTGTTAAGTAAACCGTTAAGTAATGACGTAGCAAATAAGGGATCCCCATTTGTGCTGACGTGGCTAAACATTTAATAAAAAAATTTAAAATTTAAAATAATTAATTAAAAAAAAAGCCAAAACCTAGTTCGTCTTCCCCACCCCTTCTCCCCACCTAAGCACACCCCTAACCCAGAATCTCATTCCCCCACCCTCCTCCACTGTCTTCACCTCTCCTCCCATCCAAAAAACCCAGTTTGTCTTCCCTACCCGAGCACACTCCGTATTTCAATTTCATATGGCCGCATCGGATTCACCAACAAAAAATTGGCGGAAGGGAAAACTTCTCAGGGGAACAAGTTGAGTAGCTTTCTCTCCGATCCAACGACGTAAGAGTACGAATGTTGATCTTTGAACCCACTCTCGAAGCACATGGTGACGTCGGACTCATCTGAGTTCATGGACGGGGTTCCCGGTCGTCAGGTATCTGGATTGGGCTTGGGTTTAAAAGACGGGGTCGGGGTCAACCGGAGATCTAAATCCGCATGTTGCTGAAGCTGAAGTAACTTGGTGGAGGACTCGTCGGCCGCGGCAGATCCATTGCATTGCAGCGAGGAGGCTCTGGCGGATCGGGAACTGGTGAACCGGGATGAGGAACCAGAGTTGTGACTCAGATCTCGAAGCCTCCACATGTCCGTAGAGTGACGCCGCCGACATCGTCCTTGGATGCCTCGTCAGAAGTGGACGCTTTGCCGAGAAGCTCGGGAATCGGGTAGAGCGTACCGTTGAGAAAAACGGTCTCAACAGTAGCCTGGCAGAGATGAATTGGGATGTTGGGAATCGGGGACGACGGAGATAAAGGACATGAGGCCAACACGGCCGAAAAACTTGGAGGAGGGTGTGCTCGGGTTGGGAAAAGGGGTGGGGGAATGAGATTCTGGGTTGGGGTGTGCTTGGGTGGGGAAAACGAACTGGCTTTTTTTTTTTTTTTTTTGCTTTATTTAATTAATTTTTTTAATTTTTATTAAGTGTTTAGCCACGTGGCAGCCAGGTCAGCACAAATGGAGATCCCTTATTTGCCACATCATCACTTAACGGTTTACTTAACATATTTTCTAATAGATGTATGAAATGGAAATAAAACGATAGTAAATGTATGAAATTTAAATGTTTTAAAGACGTTGTAAGGAATTGAAATCGACCCCAAACCTGAGGAGGTAAACTGTAATTTACCCAATAAAAATTTAAACGTGATTGGCGTTGGTGGAAGTATTAATTAAGAACCATGCTTCACTACAAAAAGAAAAGCATATCACAAATAGACATGTGTCCGAATATTTGAAATTGAAAAATTATAATTAGTGGCTTGTCTATTTGTGATTGAATTTCAGCAGTACTTGCTCCTCTTCTTTCAGCAAACATAGTTCATTAATTAAACAACTAATTTAATGAAGGTACCAGGTTGTACTCTTTCTCTTTTGGCATCAAGTATTAAAGTTTGAAAAAACAGGGAAGAATCTGTAACAATAAAAATTGAAAAATACATGCATCTTATTAATTGTGTGTGTATATATAACAATAGGGGAGATGAAAGAACAAAACTGTGCAACTCAATCTGCAGAAATGAATTGATTCTTTTGATTCTTTCTTGTTTTTCAAGTTACTTACATGGTACCCTTTCTCCATAAGACATGTACACGTGGATGGTAAATGTGGATGTAAATTTCTTCCTTCTTGTTCTTGAACAAAATTGCACCTACAAAACAAATAACACCTTAGGTTAATGTCAAGAGTCTCACGCGCCCACGATGAATGGGTGGGGCTTTGGCTGAAGAACCTCCGATGCCAAAGTTAGAATTTTGAGGGAAAAATGTTTGGAGAATTTAGAAAATTTTGCAAGAGAGTTGGAATTGAGTTTTGGAAAAAATGAGGTGGTATTTGTAGGGGTATGGCCGGCCCCTTTTGGAGGTGGGGACCGGCCACTTGGATGGTTTTTTGGATGTGATTCATAATTTGTTAGCTAATTAATAAATTAATAGAGTAATAAATCAATTAATTAGCTAATTAATATAATTTCAAAGGAATGATTTTGGAATTACCTTGTGGAGAAGATTTGATGAGGATGGATGAAATAGGTTTTGAAAGATTACCTATTTTGAGCACTTTTGACCTTGATTGAGTCATGATTGTTTGCTGCTTGCGCGTAGAAGCTTCGTTGTACCTCGAGGGTAATTTTGTCTTTTTATACTCTAGAATCCATGTGTCGCCTCCATATTTTTCTCGATTATTTTTGGCTCCACA